AAATGGGGATAGTACATAACATAAGGTCACTTTTTACAAAGTACTTGTGCCATTTGACTATAACTCTCAAAGTGGGAAGTGAGATTATAGGAGATAAAAAATATTGTTTTATATTTTGAAGTGAATATTTTTTAAAATTTTTTATTAACATATAATATATTATTAGCCCCAGGGGTACAGGTCTGTGAATTGCCAGGTTTACACACTTCACAGCACTCACCATAGCACATACCTTCCCCAAATTCCACAACCCAACCACCCTCTCCCTATCCCCCTCCCCCGGCAGCCCTCAGTTTGTTTTGTGACAATAAGAGTCTCTTATGGTTTGTCTCCCTCCCGATCCCACCTTGTTTCATTTATTCCTTTCCTACCCCCCGAGCCCCCCACATTGCCTCTCAACTTCCTCATATCAGGGAGATCATATGAAAGTTGTCTTTCTCCAATTGACTTATTTCACTAAGCATAATACCCTCTAGTTCCATCCTCATCATCGCAAATGGCATTTCTTTTGATGGCTGCATAGTATTCCATTGTATATATACACCACATCATCTTTATCCATTCATCTGTTGATGGACATCTGGGTTCTTTCCATACTTTGGCTATTGTGGACATTGCTGCTATAAACATTTGGGTGCACGTGCCCCTTCGGATCACTACGTTTGTATCTTTAGGGTAAATACCCAGTAGTGCAATTGCTGGGTCATAGGGTATCTCTATTTTCAACTTTTTGAGGAACCTCCATACTGTTTTCCAGAGTGGTTGCACCAGCTTGCATTCCCACCAACAGTGTAGGAGGGTTCCCCTTTCTCCGCATTGAAGTGAATGTTTTGATGCAGGTGCCATGGCAAACTAGCCATATCAAATGGTTGCAACAAGTTAACCCATGAATCTAAACAATTTTATCATAACAACAGTCTTGTGAGTTGGTTATCATGTACCATATTTTACAGATGAAAAAGCTGAGGTTATGAGGTATTAAGAAACTTGACAAATTTTAAGGCCGTACATTGGCAGAGACTGGATTTGAACCCCTATTTGTGCATCTCCAAAGCCTTTTCTCTTTCTACTTGTATTGCTTTAGGTAGGTTATGGAATGATGAGATAAAACCACATATTTTTTATTGTAAGTTTTCATTTTAATTAGCTGATATGTAAAAAAAAAAAAGTTGTTGGAAGCTGTGTAATTACATAAGGCAGAAACAGACGCAGCATATAATAGTGTGGTACTTCCCTGGCTTTGCAATTCCCAGTGAAAGCTGTACCTGCCAGAATCACTTTATCACTGTCTGAAGAGGAGGATGAATCTGAGTCCTGCTGAATCTGAGGAAATAGTTCAGTTCTTGTTGCACTACCATTTTTTTCATACATAAGATTTATATCACCATTGGAGAGGAACTCACTTCAACAGTCAGTGCATTCCAGGTTAAAAGTTCCCACCAACAGTCCACATTCTTGTTTAAGACTCAAAAGCTGTAAGGACGCTGGTGCTCTCACAGAGTACTTTTGCCCCCAGCACCCAGCTTCTCAGAAAGCCCCTTCTCACTCCTCAGTGCCCTTGGTGTCTGGTGACTCAGTGTAGGCTAAGAATGTTTCCTCCATGCTATTCTAACAAAGAGTGATTTATCACTAATTTTGATGAGGAATCTATAATGCATGAAACTAAGTAGTTCCTTATTATTCACAGATTTCATATTTGTGAGTTGATCTCCTCACTAAAATTTATTTGTAACCCCAAATTCAATACTCAAGGCACTTGTGCAGTCATTCACAGACATGTGCAGAACAGCAAACATTTGAGTCACTCAGTACCAGGTTCTCAGCTCAGGTTGAACAAGGCGATGCTCTACTTCATGTTTAAGCTTTTTTGCTAAACAAATGTCCTTTTTGTAGCCTATTTAGTACTATGTTTTTGACATTTTTATGCTTTTTGTTGGTGATTGTGCTGCTTAAAATGACTTTCAGACAGTGCTGAAGTGATATCTAGTGTTCCTAAGCACAAGAAAACTGTGATTGCCTTATAGAGAAAATACATTTATTGGCTAAGCCTTGTTCAGGCATGAGTTCTACTGCTAGTGGCCATGAATTCAATGTTAATGAATTAATAATGTGATACATTCAGAAAAAAAGGAAGTGGAAATTCACTGATCTCATTATGAAGTCATTCTGGAAAAGTGCTAAAGTGAAAGCTATAGTGGATGCTTCAAATATGAAAAAGATGAAAAAAGCAGCTAAAATGTGGGTGCATGAGATGATGAACTAAAAAGTGTGTACTGGGCAGCATGTTATAGGACTGAAAGCTGAGGAAATTTATGGTCACGTTACCCAGCGTTAGGAAAATGTTAAACCGATAGTACTTGCATGGCTCATCTGTTTCAAAGGACATAATGCTGTAAGAAACATTAAATTTGCAGGTGAGGTAGGCTCTAAGGATGAGGGGGTTTCAAGAAAAAAAAAATTAAATACCAGCTAAGTATTATACAAGAAAAGGGTTATGTGGAAGAGCAGGTTTTCAGTGCTGATGAGACTGGCTTATTTTACAAGGATGTTGACAAATGAAACTATGTAATGTAAATTCTGTTTTGCCTGACAAAATGCTGTGGCTAGAGGCTCAGAGGAACCTCACTATTTCCCCCAGGAGCAATGACTCAGTATTTACTAATGCAGTGTTTTCAAAGGCTTTATAAAATATATGTGGCATGAATAATGAGACTCATCTGTAATTGGAAGACCACAGCTCCAGGAAGAGGGTATGCAGGAAAGCATGGGGATGTGTGGATATAAAGTAGTCATATTCAGTTGTGACTCATTACTATCTTTATAATAAAAACCTTTTTCCTGAGTGATGCAGTCTAATTCCCTGCATTTGTCTCTTCCACAACCAGACTGAATACACAGAATTACATAGGTTTTGGACGCTTTAATCCATTCTGATGTTTTCCAGGTGTTCATCAAGGCCACTGCATTTCACCTACTTAAAAGGGCTATAAGCTAGATATTGAAAATATCTTGATTAAGGTGAATATTAGTTTTATTTATTCAACATACATTTAATTTTAAAAATAATGTATGGAGCACTAACATACTAGGCATTGTTCTGGGTGGTGAAGATGTAAAAATTAAAGCACTACAGTAGAGGAATTCAAGTAACCCAGGGGATCACAGGAGGGATGCTGAAGCCAGCCTGGTTATGTAGATGTCCCCTGAGCTGAGTCCCAAAAGATATGTAGGTTTATTAGGAAAGAAAGGAATGCAAGGAGGCTGTTAGGTCAGAGATAACATCCTTAGCACAAGGATATGGTGGAAACTTTAAAGAGGTGGCTTAACTAGTATATCAAGTATGAGGAGGAGTGGCAGGAGATGAAACAGAGGATTAGGTCAGGGGCACATCACAGAGCATTCTAGATGAAGAGTTTATAGTTTGTCTTCTGGCCACTATGTGAGGTGGGAGCCACCGAAGGCTTTTAGGTGCAGAAACAATACGGGCTTTTGATGCTAGCAATTGCACATTTTAAATAGGAAACAGAGTAGAGGATGAATTTGGGGAAGACATAATAAGATATGAGGACCTGAATTAGATTGTAGCCAGAATAGGTAAAATAATAAAAATTGTTCTAGTACTTATCAAGCGTGTTTTAAGTGACAATCACTAAGTGATTCAAATGAAATAACACATTCCTTCCTACAGATGTCATTAGATGCCAGTATTAATGTTATTTTCATTTTTCTAGTGAGAAAATAAAGACATAATTGCCCAGGTAGCAGGGGTACAAGCCAAACCCAAGAAGTCTAGCCCCAGAGCCCATGTTTTAACCAACATGTGATACATCCTCTCTAGGAGAAGGTTGGAGATATGTTTAAGAGATAAAATCTGTCAGATTTAGTTATTATTGGATGTGGGAGATGATAAAAAGGGACGAATCTAATGTTTCCTTGGATTTCAGCTAAACAACTGGGTAGATGAATAATGCTAGCCTTCCCTGAGAAAGGAAACACAGGAGGACCTGAGATGTAAAGAAAGGGATAGAATAATAAGAATGATTTGGTATTAGTTCAGTCAGAGGTGCCTGTGGCTCATTCAAATGGATATATTCAGGAATCAGTGTTGGAATTATTAGTCTAAAGGTTAAGGAAAAAGTCAGGGCTAAAATAGAGATTTAAAAACCATGGGAAGTGTATATTCTAGCAGAAAAGAAGGCAGAACCCAGAATATCAACATGAATCATTACAAAGGAAGGAAAGCCAGGAGGAAAGGAAAATGGAGCAGAAACAGTGGAATGGTCAGCAATGTCAAATGTGGCAGAAAGTACTGAAAATGACTCCTGGATTTCACAATATGAACTTAATTATTGAGCTTTGTAAAGTAGTGTGGGTATAGAGGTGTGGGCAGAAGTCAGAACCAGTTGCATGAGGAATTAAATGAGGAAAGTGGAGGAAGTGAAGCAGTGAAAATATCTGGAAATACAGTTTTCTTTCAAAAAAGATGGCCCAGAAAATAAGGAGATTTGGGGCACCTAACATTGCTTAACCTCTCTGAACCTGTTTCCTCATCTGTAAAATGGAGATATTAACATCTTAATATTTTGTTGGCTTGTTGTAGGGATTAAATTAGAAATGATGAACTGTGTAGTACATGTCAGACACATATAAAGTGCTTAATGAAAGCTATTCCCTTCCTCTCTATCAGCCCCTTCCTGAACAATTAGCTTGACTCAGAGCCATATGTTAGGATAAAAGAAGAAGACAGTCTCTTTCCTCAGGAAGCTTACAGTCCAGCTAGAATGCTAACACAGTAATAAAATGTATACTGAAATTCGGTGTACATAAAACCGTAAGTAACTATACTGAAATACAGATGCTGTAGTGTTTTCAACAAAATATTATTAACAGAAAGGCAATGTGGAGGGAGCACAGGAAATACCTTGCAGACAGGGAGATACTTGCCTGAAGAATTGATGAATTCTTTATCAAGAAGAATTGAAGAATTCTTCTTTCTGGGGGAGGCATTTCAAGTAGAGAGAATAGGAAAATCAAGGGCATGGTAGGGAGAGTCCGTCCAAAATGGTGGTGTAAAAAGAAACTGAGTTCACTTCCTCCTGTGCACATCAAATCTACAGCTACATGTGGAACAATTCCCTCTGAAAAAAAGAACTGAAAACTAGTTGAAATGTTCCTCTACAACAACAAAGGATAAAAAAAACACATGGAAAATGAGACAGAGAGGCAGAGACATAATATTTCCAAAATCCCCACCCCAGAAACAGAGACACTCAATAGGAAGAGACCTCACAAGTCCAGAGTTTCTCTCAAAGAAGGGAGGTGTTTTTGCCCCACATCAAGCACCCAACCCCTGGGACCTTCACCAGAGAGACAAGCCCCCAAAACATCTGGCTTAGACAAACAATGAAGCTTACATCCAAGTGACACAAAGGACTGTAGGAAATGGAGATATGCCTTTTAAAGGACTTAAATGCAGTCTCACTTGCCCCAGGAACAAGTACAAAGTTAGCAGCTTAAAAACCACCTATACTATCATGAAGGGGATCCATTTACTAATCTTAAACATCTGCTATAGGAGAAGGCACAGATGGGACTATGGAGGCCAGCAGTGTACATGATTAGAGCCCCACAAGAATGTATATATTTACATACTTTGAAAGCTACTGCCTGAGGGTCAGACTTCCAATCAGCCTGAAACTAGGTGCTAACTGAGATCCTTCTCCTTGGATTGTGACAGGTCTTGGTGCACCTTCAACAATGGGTACTTATCAAGAATAAATCAAACTACTTAAACAACCACAAATGTTCAAAAGACAAGCAAGAATTATGGCATGTTTAAATAGTAAATTTCTTCACCTACACAAAGCCATTCCTTCAAGACTGGTAAAGGTACCTCTTTTGCATAGTACGTAGAAACAAATGCAGAGAGTCAAGCAAAATGAGGAAACAGAAGAGTATGTTCCAAGCAAGAAAGAAAATAAAACCTCAAAAAGAATATAAAACCTCAAAAAGAATACAAAACCTCAATGAAAAAGATATAAGTAATATACCTGTTAAATAATTCAAAGTAATGGTCATAAAGATGCTCACTAAACTTCAGAGAAGAATGAATGAATACAATGAGAACTTAAAGAGGCAGAAAATATAAGAAAGTACCAAACAGAAGTCACAGAGCTGAAGAACACAATAGCTGAACTGAAAAACACACTAAAGGAGTTCAAAAGCAGACTGACTCTAAAGAATCAGTGATCTAAAAAACAGGGCTCAATCAGAGCAGTAAAAACAATTTTAAAAAGTGAAGATAGTTTAAGTGATCTGTGGGACAACATCAAGTGAGATAACATTCACCATTCACATTATAAGGGTCCCAGAAGGAGAAGAGAGAGAGAAATAAGCAGAAAATTTATTTCAAGAAATAATAGCTGAAAACTTCCCTAATCTGGGAAAAGAAACAGACATCCAGATCCAGAAAGCCTGTAAAGCTCCCAAAAAGATGAATCCATAGATATCCACATCAAGACTCATTACAATTAAAATGTCAAAAGTTAAAGAGAGAGTCTTAATGTCAACAAGAGAAAAACAACTTGTTATGTACAAGGGAATCCCCATAAGGCTATCACCAGAGTTCTCAGCAGGAACTTTGCAGTTCCAAAGACAGTGGCATTATTTATTGAAAGTTCTGAGAGAGGAGAAAAAAAAAAAACTTTCAACCAAGATTACTCTACCTAGCAAGGTTATCATTTGGAATTGAAGAATAAATAAAGTTTTCCAGATAAACAAAAAGTAAATAAGCCCATCACCACTAAACTGGACTTAAAAGAAGGATAAATGGGACTTTTTTAGCTGAAAAGAAAATTAGTAATTAGTAACAAGAAAATACATGAAAGTAAAAATCACAGTAGTAAATTTAAATATATAGTAAAGGTAGTCTCTAAGCCACTTATAAAGTTAGTATGAAGGTTAAAAGACAAAAATATTAAAATTAACTATAACTACAGTACTTAGTTAAGGGATATGCAAAAAGATGTAAAATGAGATATCAGAAACAATGTTGGGAGGGAGTAAAAATGTAGGTTAACAATGGATTCAAACTCAAATTGCTGTCAACTTAAAATAGACTGTTTTACATATATAGGATGTAAGATATATATATGCAGCACAAAAGTACCAAAATATATAAAGCAAATATTAATAGACCTAAAGGGAGAAACTGACAGCAATACAAAAGTAGTCAGGGACTTTAACACCTCCTTACATCAATGGATAGTTCATCTAAGCAAAGTCAGTAAGGAAACATTGATCTTCAACAACAGACTGGACATGACGGACTTAACAGATATATACAGATATAACAGATATATACAGAATTAAGCTTCTGGGACTATAATCATATACCCATTTTAAATTCCATGCAAAAGCAGAATACACATTCTTCACAGGTGTACATAGAACATTCTCCAGGATAGACCACAGGTTAGGCCAAAAAACAAGTCTCAATAAATTTAAGAAGAATGAAATTATATCAAGGTTCTTTTCTGACCAAAATGGTAGGAAACTAGAAATTAATTCAAAGAAGAAAACTGGAAAAATCACAAATAACCAGTGACTAAACAACATGGTACCAGAAAACTGATGGGACAATGAAGAAATCAAAAGAGAAATTTAAAAATACCTCAAGACAAATAAAAATGGAAACACAATAATCTAAGTTCTGTGGGGAAATGTGGTTCAAAGAGGGAACTTCATACCAATACAGGCCACTTCAAAAAACAAGAATAATTTCAATGAACGGTATTAATTATATACCTGAAGGAACTAGGAAAAGAACAAATAAAGTACAAAATTACCAGGAGGGAAGAAATAATAAAGATCACAGCAGAAATAAATAGAGACTAAAAGACAGTAGAAAAGATCACTGAAAGTAAGGGCTGATTCTCTAAATAATTAAACAAAACTGACAAACCTTTAGCAAGGATCACCAAGACCATCCTTTCCCTATTGCATATCCTTGCCTGTGACACAAATTAATTGACCATACATGCATGGGATTATTTCTGGGCTCTCTATTCTGTTCCATTGATATGTGTCTGTTTTTATGCCACTTCTATACTTTTTTTTAACTGAGGTACAATTGACATAAAATATAATACTAGTTTCAGGTGGAAAACGGAGTGATTTGACAAATAGATACATTACTAAGTGCTCATCACAGTAAGTTAATTGCCATCTGTCACCACACAAGTTTATTACAATATTATTGACTGTATTCCCTTTGTTGTACTTTTAATCCTTATAACTTAGTTATTTTAAAACTAGAAGCTTGTGCCTCTTAATCTCCTTTCATTTCATCTCTTCCCCCACCCCCTGCCCCTCTGGAAACCACTAGTTTTTTCTCTATGACTCTGTTTCTCTTTTTTGTTTGTTTTGTTTTTTAGATTCTACATATAAGTGAAATCATTTATCTGTCTTTCTCTGTCTGGTTTATTTCACTTATCATAATACCTTAGTTCATCCTTGTTGTCATGAATGGCAAAATTTCCTTCTTTTTATGGCTGAATAATATCCTATTGTATTCAATTCCATAGTACACAATATATTCTTTATCCATTCATCTATCCATGAACACTTGGGTTATTTCCATGTCTTGGCTATTATAAGTAACACTGCAATAAACATAGGGTATTTTTCACAGAACTAGAACAAAAAAATCCTAAAATTTGTATGGAACCATATGAGAATAGCCAATATCTCAATATCTTGAGAAAGAACAAAACTAGATATAAATACACAGTGGAATATTACTCAGCCATAAAAGAAAATGACATCTTGCCATTTGTGACAACATAGATGGACCTTAAGGGAATTATGCTAAATGAAATAAGTCAGACAGAGAAAGATAAATACTATATGATTTCACTTATATATGTAATCTAAAGAACAAAACAAAACTCATACATACAGAAAACAGAATTGATGGTTTCAGAAGGGAAGAGGTGGATAGTAGTCAAAACAGGTAGAGGGGGCCAACAGGTACAAACTTCCAGTAATAAAATAAGTAAGTCATGGGGATATAATACTATATATACTAATATTCTATAGTGAATAATATTATAGCACATACTTGAAATTTTCCGAGAGTAAATCCTAAAATTATCTTCATATGGGGACAGATGGTAACTAGATTTATGCAGTGATCACTTTGCAATGTATCATCATGTTGTATATCTGGAATCAACATGATGTTGTATGTCAAGTATACCTCTATAATTTTTTTAAGAGCGTGATAGTATGGAATTCATGGAATATCAGGGGTAGTGAGTGGTAAGTCCTTAATGGCTTAGAAAGGCAGAAAACAGCAGTTGTATTGGTTATAAGACAGAATGTAGAAAAACTTGGCCCCATGTCAGTCAATTCTGACTTGATTCTATAAGCAATGGCAGTCTTTCAGGGCTTTAATAGAGGAGTGACATGACAGATCTGGTGTGGAGTACGAAGAGAAGGATTTAGGAGAATGTATTAGTAATCCCTGTGAAAGTGGCTGGATAAAAAGTTTTGTGAAAATGATGCAGTCACCAGCTTACATGACTGTTTTTAAAAATCAGATGTATTGGTTGAGTCCTGATTTGTGACCCAGTATGTGGTCTATTCTGGAGAAAGTTCTGTGTGTACTCAAGAAGAATGAGTATTCTGTTGTTGTAGGGTGGAATGTTCTGTACTTATCTATAAGGTCCAACTGGTCCAATGTGTCATTCAACATTCTTGTTTCTTTGATTTTCTGCTTGGATGATCTGTCTAATTGCTAAGAGTGATGTGTTAAGATCCCCTACAATTAATGTATTCATATCAATATGACTCTTTATTTTGTTTAACAGTTGGCTTGTGTAGTTGGCTGCTCCCATTCTGGGGGCATAAATATTTATAATTGTTAGATCTTCTTAGTGGATAGACCATTTAATAATGATGTAGTGTTCTTCTGTATCTCTGACTATAGTCTTCAGCTTAAAATATAATTTATCTGTTATGAGAATAGCTACCTCAGTGTTCTTTTGAGGCCCATTGGCATGAAAGATTTTTCTGCATCCTTTACTTTCAGTCTGGATGTATCTTTAGGTTCCAAATGTGTCTCTCGTAGACAGCA